TGGATTGCTACCTAAATTTCAGCTTGCTTTTAAGTGTTCTTAAGTGTCTTTAAACTATCAAGACCCATAGTCTTTATTTTTTTTTCAAGATGCATACCCCAGACTGTTGAAAGGTGTTTAAACCCCCATGTATAGCACTCAGCTTAAGGTTGTCTCCTTGCATTAAAAACAAAGCACTTCTTACCTGAGCACTGTGCAGTTCAGAAGCACGGGGAGAGCTTGTAACCTGTCTGCCAGGACTTGCACCACACCCAAGTGCTCTCATTTAATGTCTGGAGAGGGAGAGTATTTGCTTTTTTGGAGGAGGATTAATTCATCAAGGAAACCTTTGCAATTTCATTTGTCTAAGAGCACCCTTCCCTAGGGCACCGTGCATTGTTGTCAGCAGTGACTCTCGTTAGCAACATTGCATTTCTTGGCCTCAAAAGTGAAACACTGCACCTAATTCTGTGAGGTTGAAGTGTTTGTACCTGGAAGGTATGACTTGGGAAACAGTGCAGTGCTGAGAATACAAGGGTCTCCTTGATGTTAGTGGAGACCACCTGCTCTAGCAGAAGGTGGCCATATACTTAACCTTGTCTTCGCTTGTGGTTCTTGTTTTTAGACTCCTGAAGAGGAGGAAATCTTGAACAAGAAGCGTTCAAAGAAGATCCAGAAAAAATATGATGAGCGAAAGAAGAACGCCAAGATAGCAAGTATTCTTGAGGAGCAGTTCCAGCAAGGAAAGCTACTTGGTGAGTCCCTGGCAGCATGAATGTGGGTGGGGATAAGGGAGTCGGGGCACAAACAGGGTGCCAGAGCAGATCTTATTCTTGGTCTTGGGATCATTTGAAGTTCTACTGGCTGTGGTAAAGCTAACTGCTGGGTGAAAGCAATGGGGTGTTCTCCATATCTGCAGGAGTATTTTCTGGGTCTTAAATGTAGCTTGTTCTTTTATCTTCTCTGGAGATACCCCACTTCTGGCAGCGAGGGGAAATCTATTTCTGGAGCTTGAATTGGCACATGTCCCAGCCAGGCTCCCGGAGTTGATCATTCCTGGTTGGCCTTTGAGAAAAACAATGGGGCTTGAGACTTGCAAAATGAGCAAAGACCCATGGGCTGCACAGAGTGTCAGAAAAATGTCCTACGAACATGTGACAGCTTTGACCAGTTTCAAGTTCTGGCAAATAGTTCAGTGTTCTGAAGTCTTCTGGTGATGAGACCTTTGTCCAGTTCTGCTACTGAACTTGAGCGATGACAGTTTGGAGATCTGAGGAGGACTTCATTAGGGACTCAGTCTAGCAGAGCAGGTTCAAGAGCACGATACCTTGGGGGGAGGTACTGAAGCCAGCACATAAACTGGTGTATCTGTTACTGATAACTTGCTCGTCCGTGGTTTTGCAGAGAGACTGCATGCAGTGTTTATTTCACTTTGTGTATATACTGGGGTAGTGAATTATTAAACTTTAACTGGATGACTTCTCCTTGCAGCCTGCATTGCCTCCAGACCTGGACAGTGTGGCCGAGCCGATGGCTACGTGTTGGAAGGCAAGGAATTAGAGTTCTACTTGAGGAAGATCAAGGCCAGAAAAGGCAAATGAATAAAAACTATTATGCTGAGAGAATGAATAAAACCAGGAGTGTACTACAGTAAAGGGTTGTGTGCTCATTTGTGTGTGCAGGGTGGAGGGCGCTTGTGTAGCTCCTTCTGCCTGTAAAATGTGAAAGAAGAAGATGGATCTCTCCTGGAGTCCCCGAGAGCTGTTGTGTCTTCAGGCAAGCTCTGACTCTGCATGTTCTCAACTAAAACATCTCCCTGGGTTCTAGGACAGTGACTTAATGGAAGTGGGTGTGGGAAAGGCTCAAGTGGAGAATTTCTGGTACTGGAAACCTGCAAGCAGGAGGAAGGTGCAAATGTCCACCCCCATTAAGAGTCCTGGCTTTCTGGGAGCTGCCAGGGTCTGGCTGGGCATCCCCCCTTTTCCTGTGGTGTCTTAGGTCAGCACACGCTGCGTTTTGGGACCTCTTGGAGTGAGGTCAGTGGGGAAAGGGGCCCCGCTGCCTCAGGAGAGGACTGTCCAGGGAACAGTTCTACAGCTGCAGCGGGGTGTTTCTTAGGCTCTGTGCTAAGTCTGGCTGAAAACTTCTCTTGCACCTCCAGCCTCTGCAGCTGGTACCTCCTGCCTCCGCTTTCCAGATCACAGATGCTCACATCCTCTGGTTCGGGCCAGCAGCCCCTTTCGCCATTGCTTGGTGTTTCCTGCCTGGTGGTACGATTGCGTTCAGGGTCTGGTATCTTCTTTTAACCAAACTTGGCTGCACTGCTCAGTGACCAGCTGGTCTTTCCCTGACCTCCTTGGTCTCATTCCAGTGCAAGATAAATTCCTTCTAGCAGAAGGGCCAGGCTCTCGTTATGGTCTGTCCCTTTCGAAAGCTGGGTACAAAATCCAGCTTTCTGCCCTGTCACTTGTGGTGGGACTGGAAAGCTGTGGTGAACAAAAGCTTTTCTGGATGTTTTGGAGCATGTGTTGTCGTTCCTTGGGGCTGCTGTCTTTTAAAGAAAGCCAGCACGATGGATCTCTGCATCTAGTCGCCAAATGCTTTGTGCAGGTATTGGGGTGGAGTTGGGAGCCCATCTAAGGGCTGGTCCTGGGGCCACAGGGCCAGGCCAGACTCCCACATCTTACGCCTGCCAGGTGGACACACTGCACACTTCACCCCACTTCTATATTTTTACAAAAGCCTCATTTATCCATAGGAGCACTCGTGTGAGGCAGGCTGCCTACAGCCCCAGCTTCACAATTTTTAGCTCTGAAGTGAAGGAGATGGTCTGTGATCATCTTGCCCCAAGCAGAGCTGTGGTGAGACCCATGTCTTTAGTGCCTTAAAATGCAGGCTGACTGCCCTGCAAATAGCTTGTGCATGGTATTTTTTTTATTTAAAGTTTTTCCTGTGATGCTCTGCCCCAGCTGCCGAGTCTGGCAGCAGGAGGTGCTAGCGGGCTCGGGTGCCCTGGGCACTGTGGGTTTCGTCCTGCCTTGCTGGCAGGAAGCCGAGGATGGGTCTGTGCCACAGATGGAGAGACACACCAACCGCATCAGAAGACGGTACCTGTTACCTGGATGGCCGCAGCAGCACGGTTATGCCGTGGTGGGCGTACGTTGGCACTGCTCCGCAGCTTGGGTCTGCGCTCACGGGGGCACTGCCAGCAGAGCCATACCCGGCTGGGTGCAGCTGGCCGCGCTTCTGGAGTCCCTGGCAGTGGGACCTGGGCTGGGTGGGACGTTTGCACAAGCACATTCCTTCTCCATAGTGATCTGGGGTAAACTTTCCCTGCTCTCCAGCAACGCCTGCTTTCCAGAGAGGTGGGGCGGAGGCAATAAAGGGCACTTGGGAGGGATGCGTCACGTCTGCTTCCTCCGAATGTGTTTCTTGTCCCCCTCGCCCTCCGCAGAGTGCAAACAGGATTCGGGGTGTTTCTGGGGGACTTTGGACAGATGGAGAAACTGAGGCTTACGGAGCAAGTGCCAGCTTGGTGTCAGAGCAGGAGCTGTAAACCTCGTCCCTGATGAGCAGGATGATGGCTAATTCATCAATGCACTCTGCTTATTAAGTTACTGCCCTGAAAAACACAGCTCCCGTGGGAACGAAATCGGCACCTAGTGCTGGCTGGAGCCACGCTGTAGGTGTGACATGGGAACGGGACGGTGGCAGCTGGCCAGGGGCGTGTGGCACCTGGCTCCCACGGTGACACAGGCAGTGGGACCTTGCGCAGCTCAGCCGCAGGATGTATGGTTTCTGGTCTGGCCTTGGCACAGCCCCGCGGATGTGCGCAGGGATTTACCTGCCTGGGAGGAGGCAAGCCTGCCACGCACTGAGCCAGAAAGAGATGGGCAGGGGCTGGGGTTAAGCACAGCTTTAGTCTGGGTGGGTTTATGAACTGCCAAAGCCTGGTCTAAGGACCTTACCCACTTCTGCAGATAGATGCAGCGGCTGAACTTAAAAAAAGCTACTTTTCATATGATAAGCAGCCGGCAGCGTAACCCAAGTGAGGTCACTCGTCATCCTGAGTGCTGCTCCTTGCTGTTGAGCGGCTCTGAGCTCCACGCGGTATTAACTTTGGGGTATTTTCACAGGACATGGTCCAACCCAGAAAATGACCTCGTGGTTATGCTTTAACTGGTCCAGCAGTCGCCCAGAGGGTAGTGGAGGAGGAGCTGGGCCAGCTTGCAGGGGGGAGATGGGAGCTTTAGAGGAAAGGTGGCTTTGGGAGAGAGGGGCTTGCAGGAAAGGGAATTTTTTAACAGCTCTGCTAATATTCTCAGGGGAAACACACGTGTCTGAGTGCGGGAATCCTTCTACATCTTTCTGGGGTTTTTTCTGGCTCTATCACATGATCTAATACCCCACAACCATCGCTGGTGTCAGTCCATGGGGCTGTGCCCTTTTTGCCCTGGGAGAACATGTGCACTCCTTGACAAAATCCAAATTCACCTGCTTTTTGGGTAACTGTGATGTCCCTACTGTCTCACTGCTGGGGGTGATTTGCACCGACAGGGAAGAACCGAAAAGCTGAGGTTGGCAATAGCTTTATTAATATCGAGGGGACATCTCCATCACGGTGTTGGTGTTCTGCAAGACTAATGCCCTTGTCCCATCCCTTGCTTGGGGTCTGGGCTGTCCCCTGTCCCCTGCAGTGGGCATTGGGAGCAGGGAGTGAGCCTGGCCAGCTGCAAGTTGGTGGCATCATCACACGGATGGGCTGAATCCTGCAGTTTTGGGGCTAACAGCTAGTGTTGAAGGCTGTCTGCCCAATCCCAAACCCACTATGATCTTCCCATCAACCCAGGGACACATCTTGGCTTGGGGCTGGGTGGCAAAAGACCTGGCAATGTCCTGCTTCTGGATGGGGGGCCCAAGGGGGGGTGTCTGGGGACAGGGAGCTTTGTGGCTGGTGGTGGCAGTGCCTTGGGGCGGGGGCGGCTATTCTGCCCCCAGGAAAGGGTGCTTTTGGAGCAGCCTCAGGGCTCCCAGACCTCCAGCTGGTCAGCCCTGATGCTCTCACTGGATGGTAACTTCACCCGGATCAGTGGCAGCTCCTTCCTCTGTGTTTCGGAGGCCTCCGGCGGCTGGATCCCCCCTGGGTGACCGCCAGGTGTGGTGGACTCGCTGGCCCGGCTCTCCTCATCCTCTGTCTCCTCCTCTTCTATACGGGCCACCGACTCAAGGTCCTCGGAGCGGTTGGGGTAAGGGGAGGGGAAGCTGCCATCTGTGCGGGGACGCCGCAGGTGGGGGTGGGCTCGGCTACCCCGGCTGAAGTTTTTGATGCTGATGGCGGGGGATGCGGCAGCGAAGAAGCGGCTGAGCAGGGGCGTCTGGATGCGCGGCACGCTCGGCGAGGCCTCCGGCAGCTGGCTCTGCTCTGCATCCTCGCACATGCTGGAGGAGCACAGTGGGGTGATGGGACAGGCTGCCATCCTCCGCACGGGTGCCCAGCACCACTCACCGCCTCCATCCCAACGCATTTGCAAGCAGGGAGCAGCTCCGGGAGGCCACATCCCTGCCCCAGCAGCTCATCCATCGCCCAGCGCAGCCCCCAAGCCCCACAAGGGCTGGGCAACGTGCTCCCAGGGGGGATTTGCTGTTTGCTCACTGTAATTGGGCCCGGCGGGGATGAGCCCGGTTGTGCTACTGCTACCCTGAAGCACTCGCCTTCTTTTTCTCCAGCCCCAGGGCTGCGCCGTGCACTCACCGCATGTCGAAGGTGGAGCCCAGGAAGGAAGGCTTCAAGGTCTCAGCGGCTGTGGCCGTGGAAAAGGCTGTGGCCGTGGTGTAGGGGGGCTGAGCCGTGGACTCATTCCAGTATTTGTCCTTCACGGCAGGTGGCAGGTTCTGGTACATGTCATCCACAGAGAGCAGGGACACCTGGGCACGGCAAAGGCAGGGGACAGGGGTGGCTTTGCGAGGACATGAGCGGGAGCGGTGGCTGCAGATGCTGCTCCCAGCGCCAGCCTGGCTGCATGTCCTGGCTGCATTTGCGGTTTTCCCCTTTTGAAGGCTTTTCTCAGTGGTGAGGGGCTGAGCAGCGGTGCCAC